GTTTTCCGTCCAGGAGGGTGCGAAAACGGAGAACGAGCACATCGAACTGAAAGTTGCCGGGCAGGACGGCTCCGTGGTGCAGTTCAGAATCAAGCGGCACACTCCGCTGAGCAAGCTCATGCAGGCGTACTGCTTCCGACAGGTAGGCGAGCGCACGGCCCCGGGCTCCGTGCGGACTCCCACGGACCCAAAGGGCTCCGATACCCCGGGGAAGCGTCCCCGTGTTGGTGGAACCCTCGCTGCTTCTCTGCCCGCATTGTGGAACATGCTTGTGGGCAGGCTGAGGGTGTCCAGGTGTGTGGGAGAATGAGGAGCTGGGATGCTGAATGGAAACTGCCTCTTCCTCTTCAGATGCTCCCTAATGTCCCATGACACAGTTACAAAAATTCCTCCAGTTCTGATCCTGACTCATAAACAATGCACTAACCCTCATCTTCAAAAACTTCATCAACTTTGAGTGCATTTTCTGTTTGGAAAACGGCACAAAATTAATTCTTCTATGCCACAGCTTCCTCATGCACTGTTTTCTTCTCCCTTCCTGTGTCTCCTGCTCCTATTGCACAGTCGTGACCTGTGTCCCACAGGTGTCACAGGCTATTCCTTAGTGCCATCCTGAACTGAACAGAAGAATGAATCCCGCAGCTCAGTTCCTGAGCCTGGAGCTCCCAATTTTACACAGAGCAAAGGGTGGGCATGTGAATGGCTTTGGAAACAGAGTCAGATTTTGTTTGTCCTTTGTTACTTGCAGGATCCTTTCTTTGCTTATTCAAACTTTACACTCTGCCCTGCTCTGTGCCTGCTGCACCCTGACACATCTGGGGTTTTGGAGAGGTACAGGAGTTCTGGCATTCCTGTGTGTGACACAAGTGTGAATCACATGGATTTTAGAGGGCAGAGCAAGGTCCTCAGTCCCTGATGCAGGGAATAAAGACTTCCTCATGTGATCAAACTCTGTCAGAACAGGATTCAGTAGTGTGGTAACTCAGGTTTTAAGGGCAATGTAAAGTTACCAGCATTTGACCTTCCTCAATGTAGACAGCAAGACAAATGTGCTCAGTGTCCTGATGGTGAAATCTTAACCAGAGAATCACTGAATGGTTTGGGGTTAGGAGGGAATTTAAAGCCCATCCATGGGCAGAGACACCTTCCACTATCCCAGGTTGCTCCAAGCCCCATCCAGCCTGGCCTTGGACACTTCCAGGGATCCAGGGGCAGCCACAGCTGCTCTAGGCACCCTGTGCCAGGGCCTTGCCACCCTCACAGGGAAGAATTTCTTCCCAATACCTAACCTAAATCTATCTTCTGTCATCCCCCTTGACTTTTGAGTGTTAATTTTGTTGTCATATGTTCTGACAGTAAATCCATGAACAAGTGTCTGCATTCAGAAATCAAGTGTGGTTTCTCATCTGTAACTTTGAACTTGCAGGGCTTGTCAATGAGGTACATTATGTTCCTGTTTGATGGAAAGCCCATTAAAGAAGCAGACACACCTGCACAGGTATGAAAAACACTCTTACTGCAAATTGCTACACAGATATTCAGGTGTCTGAGTGGTGATCAAAGGGGCTTGAAATCAAAATGATCCTGAAATAGTTGCTGTGAGTTTAGCATGTTCCAACAAATTTGTGCAGGATGACTGATGGAAAGTGTTTCATGTCTTAGTTAATTAAAGTTATTCCTGAAATGCTGATTCAGAGCAGAGAGCCACGTGCTTTTGTCAGCATGTGTTTTTCAAGTTTTCTGTATTACTTATCATTTCTATGTTTTTAAGATGTTAAAATAATTCCTGTGTTACTCCCACAGCTGGAGATGGAACACAACGACACGATCGAAGTGTACCAGCAGCAGACAGGAGGAGGGTGCTAAGACACAGCATCTTTTGGAGAACAGTTTAAGGATCCTCATCACTCCCTGCTCTCTCATCTCTCCTTGGATTTGCTGTTTTATTAGGGAACAGATGAACATGCCAATCACACAGGGTTCTTTGAAACTTCTCAGGATATTTACCAAAGTTGCTTGTTGTCTTTGACGTTCTGTGTGCACAAGTCAAAATAGTATCTGCAGGGATTGAGCTGTGTCTGAATTTCACTATTTCAAATTCAGATTAAGTAATATGTGTTGTCTCTCTGTTGTTAGCCTTTTTTAAAAAAATACTGTTTGTATTATCTCTTTTTTTTCTCTCTTTAAACTTGTGGCCTAAGCATTCATCCATGTATTGGGACACTGAGTGTTCTTTCCTGTCTCTGTTTGGTTTTGTCCCTGTTTTAACTTAAACTATAGAAATAGTTCAATGTATTTTCATGCCAAGTGTGAGTGTAAAAGTTTCCTTTTAAGATGTGCGTGAGAGAAGGGACACAGATACAGGTTTAAAGTTTTTAGCTCATGTTACAAATTCATTCAATCCCTTGGGCAGCATCCTGCCCTTGACTGGGGCTAGAACACAATACAATGCTTAGGATAGGGTTTAAATACTTCAGGTTTACATGTGGTTTTTTCATATTATGATAAAGTAGGACAAAATATACTTTTCTTTAATGCAGAAATGGGGGTTTTTTTTGTCCTGCACTATTGCAGAGCTGGAGGTTGCAGCAGGGCAGCTGGTCCAAAAACTTAATGCTTGTGATAGAGCTCCCTTAACTTTGAGTCTCTGTGGGCACTGGAAGTCCGTGGCCTCAGATTTCTTTTTAAATCTCTTTTTTGTATATAAACTTGGTAAATGAGAGGGGGAAATGCCTTTTAATGTCACCAGACTGTGCAGAAGAGCTAGTAAGCGAGGAGAGACATTTAGATGTCGTGAAATAAATTGCTGTCCTGCCCCTCCAGCCTTGCTGAGGTTTAATTATTTGTGTGGTGTTTTGGCCTCCAGGAAGCCCGTTCCTGAGGAATTTTGACTGAGGCTGTCCTGCTGCTCCATGGAATCATCCCCAGCCTCTTCTCTTTCCATTTATTCACGTTATCTATGCTTCTTCTTGCTGAAATCTGGCTGGAAAGGCAGATTTCAGCATATTCCCTTTTCCAGGGTGGCGGTAGCTGGGCTGGGATATCCCGCGGATCCCCTCAGGGACTCGGGCCGGGCTCTCCGCTCTCTGCGCAGGAAATGCCGCGTGGGCGCTGCTCCGGGCAATCCGCTCCGCATACCCCCGCTCCATGGGGCATTTTGCAGATTCTCTTGCATCTTCCCCATCGTTTCCTATAGGGAATCCTGAGGTTTTCCCGCTCCGCCCAATACCGGTGGGAGGACCGGCCGCTACCATAGAGGCGAAGCGGGCGGATAGAGCGCCACCCTCCGCC